AAAAAGTTAAATATAGCTAACTTCAAATGAGGACAAAGTGTGCCCTAGTTCATCCATCGCATCTTAGGAAGTGAAAGTACTTTTCATACGACTATACGACTATTTCGTAACGGAATTAAAAAAAAACATGGCGATAAGGTGGTCTTCGAATTGTTTTTCGAAGGAAATTAAGATCAGTGGCGTAATTAAGATTCGTCCTTGTGGGTCTAGGTCCAATGGCCAATATTTATGAAAAAGAAAAGCAATATGGAACTTCAACTTACCTTGAATTTGAAGTATAAATGAGGGAAACAGTATTGAAAACTGAATCAAACAATTCAACATATCAACAGGTACAAACATGAAATAGGAATAAAAAAAAAACGAAATAACGAATATTGAAAATTCGACTAATTCAGTTACAGAAAATGAAATTGAAATAATATAAAACTTTGCACCGAAACGTTGGTTTGGGTGTCTCAGGGGTTGGGGGTTCTAACGAGACCCGATAGCAGAAGAATGAAAAACCGCCAATTCTTGAAATACCCAAACCAACGTTTCGGTGCAACTTGGCGCCCAACGTGGGGCTCGATTTGCAGGAAATCAGAAGAAAATGCCAAGTGTGGGGTCTCCCATATACAGTGACGGGGGATACAGAACGAGACAGCGGACCCGATTTTCTACAGGAAATACGACAAAACCACCAGTTTCGTCCGGAGATGAATTTTCGTCAGCAGAGACAGGTTTGAGGTCTCAGGGGTTGGGGGTTCTGAGACCAGATAGCAGAAGAATGAAAAACCGCCAATTCTTGAAACACACAAACCAACGTTTCGGTGCAACTTGGCGCCCAAGCAAGGGACCAGATTTGCAGGAAATCAGAAGAAAATGCCAACTGTGGGGTCTCCCATATACAGTGACGGGGGATACAGAACGAGACAGCGGACCCGATTTTCTACAGGAAATACGACAAAACCACCAGTTTCGTCCGGAGATGAATTTTCGTCAGCAGAGACAGGTTTGAGGTCTCAGAACCCCCAACCCCTGAGACACCCAAACCAACGTTTCGGTGCAACTTAAAGAGGTACATTGTGAAAATATTAAGGTGGTAGAAAAATGAGTGCGAAATATATTACAAAAGTATGAACTCAAAGTTTCATATGGCTACTGGATAGTGCATCTTTAACTATAATTTTTTTAGAATTTTCAGGTGCTAAAATCATCAATAATGCCACGGTAATTTTCAAACGGCTAGAAATTTACCGCGAGTAAAAACTGTTGTCACGATTTTATAAGTAGGAGCGGATCATAGCACAGTTGCCATATGTGTTGAAATACGATTGAGAACGTCAGAAATATTAGTTATTCAAACATTAATGAACTCTCAATTATGTATTCTTATTATTTATAAACGATCTACCATTTCACGTAAAATCTGAATGCATAGTATTATTCGCAGACGATACCTCCATCGCAAAGGAAGCCGAGAACCTTTTGGAACTCCAAGATGAGCTGAATTTAGTTGCCAATGGGTTCACAAATTGGTGTAAAAATAACAAACTACTTGTAAACTCTGAAAAGACTGTACTCATTCAATTTTTTGGGAAAAAATGCGTCGACAAACCTCTGAATGTTACTGTGAATGATGTAGTCATAGCACCTTCAGATGTCACAAAATTCCTTGGTACATATATAGACCCAGGACTAACTTGGGGCAATCACATCGACTACGTGTGCAAAAGACTGAACACTAGTTTTTATGCCATACTGCAGCTTAAGAGTGTTTTGGATAAAAAATCCTTGATGAATGTGTATTATGCTATGGTACATTCAGTGCTGAAATACCACATAATTCTGTGGGGTGCCAGTAGTGACCTAAGTAGAGTATTTGTTGCACAAAAAAGAATTATTCGGCTAATATTCAACCTCAAGAGAACAGATTCATGTAAACCTTATTTCAGGGACAACAAAATACTGACTCTTCCGTGCATATATATCCACAGCTTAATTACCTTCATTAAGAAAAATGAAGCTTCAATATCAAATAATGGTCAACATCACAGATATCCGACGAGAAATGGGGATTTATTAAAAATGTCGAAGCATAGAACCAAACTTCGAAAAATCACCCATTTTCATAGGATCCAAAATTTTCAACTGTCTGCCCATCGAGATCAGGTCTCTGTCAAATCCGAAAAGCCTCAAGCAAAAGACGAGACAATTTCTCAGTGATCAGGGATTTTATTCCATTGACGATTTTTTCAATCATAAAAAATACATTATAAATAAATAAGACGATGTATTCTGTATATATAATTCGCATATATTTTCATGTCATTTATATACTATTTTGTTTCGTACAGTTTGTTTGTTATTTATTAATACTTCATGTGAATGTATATCATGCTTTTTTCATGGTTTTGTTGACTTTTCCTATACCAATGTAAATTGGTCTATTGGATGAATAAATATTCTATTCTATTCTATTCTATTCTAATATGCCTATTTACCAATACAAAATTAATTGTCTCAAAATGTTCCCTTATGATTTGTGACTTTATTGCTTATTATGATACATTGAGCAAATTTGGGAGCTATGTTTATGCAATGTTGTAGCAATTACTGAAACGGACGTTCAGCAACATTGCAAATGTAATTTTGTAAATGTAACGTTCCAGCAATGTCACAGCAACATGTAATATTGCTGCAACGCTACATTATCCAACTTTACCTCTGCAATATTGCTAAACGTCCGTTTCAGTAATTGCTTCAACATTGCATCAACATAACTTTAAACTTTTCTTAGTGGGTAATTATATCATTTGAAGCGGTAAACATGACAACACCGCGGACACGACTTGTGGCCGTGGTCTTGTCAGTTCACAGCATTCAGCACAATGTTGCCAAGTCTACAACATTTACATGAAATTGTCTTATGGAGTATTAGAAATATTTGGACATGCTGGTTGCTCTAAAGAGTCAAGAATGAACTATGGGATCATGAGTTCCTCCTATTATGTTTCATTCACCATTTATTCGACATATCGCCAAATAGTGGCCATGACGGTATGTTTGAAATGAGCTTCAAAATTCAACAATTTCGAACACCGCATATACACTCATTATTCAAATGAAAAAGTGTGAAAATTGTTGCAAAAATTAATTTAGGTCCCTAATGACACAGTGTAGTAATTGATTGCTCGCTCATTGCCTAATACCTACCATCTTACATTCTCATCATATGAGGTTATATCTGACCTAATTTCGTTCGGAGGTTCTGATAAATTACAAATTAAATTCCCTTGATATTCCCTATACCATCCTATACTCATCATTAGAATCATTCACCAATTTTTTTCCTTCTTGGGGGGGGGGGGGTTTAGACCCCATGAACCCCTCCTTAATTACGCCACTGATCAAGATTATAAGAATGGATATGGATGTCAGAGTTTACAAACTTCATCGTCATTATCAGTACGATGTCATGATTGGGATTCCAGGGCAGTAGGATTCAATAGAATTATGCTATACACATTGATTAACGAACGCACTCATCTAATAGCCAACGCGTTTCAGCAGACCGAGAGCGGCTGATGATGCCTGTTGGGCCGAAACAGTATTTTTTTGTATAGAAGCAGTATGGGAGCAGACCCCATGGACCCATGGATTACGCCGCTCCTGATCAAGATTTTGAGAATGGATATATGGATGTTAGATTTTATAAACTTCATCGACAATATCAGAATGATGTAATGATTGGAATTCCAGGGCAGTACCTCTATAGAACGTAGTCATTTAATATAGCCAACACGTTTCAGCAGACGTAGAGCGGCTGATGATGCTTGTTGGGCCGAAACAGTATTTTTTTGAATAGAAGCATTATGATATACCGGGTGACACAGGGTATCGGGCCACCCCTGTAACTTCTGCATTCGTCAACAGATTTTTCTGAAATTCGGTACAGTTATATAAGCAATCATTTCGGATTTGCACTTGTTTTGACCTGTTGAACTTGAATATGTGAAAATATACAGGGTGTTCCATTTGAAAAGACAAAATTGCTGGCATTTCCAGAAAAACCGGAAGTCCGCCATATTGGATTGTAATGTGATCACATCCGAAATAGTTGCTTGTATAACTGTACCGAATTTCAGAAAAATCCGTTGACGAATGCAGAAGTTACAGAGGTGGCCCGATAACCTGTGTCACCCGGTAGAGCCCAGCTATAATATTTCCAAAATATCAAATGCTTCCTTAGTCTGACTTACGAACGAAGTCCTCGTGAAAATTGAACAAACATTGAAAAACATAGGATGAAATGATGAAAATCTTCGGCCGGAGAAAGGACCCTCGACCCAAATTTGGTAGTATCTATACATTGAGCTTTTCATAAGTTGTTCAAGTTATTTGTATTCATTTGTATGTATTATTATTTCTTCATCTTACCATGAGCTATCATAATCAGAATTAAATAACTTCAACCTATTCTGGATTATCACCAGGAAAATAAGATTAATTTATACATAAACAAATAAATGTAAAAACAAATATCGCGTTGGAAGGTTCATCAAAAATAATAAAGTGAGGGTATTTAACATTTTTTAATTTTCAAATTTATGATGATGTCTTTTTCCATAGCTAAAAATTTCGACAAACATTTTTTCTTCATTCTCTGAGGTCTTTTTCAATAACTATAACCTGATTACTTACTTACATGTAAGTACTGATGATGACTGTTAGTTGAGAGCGATTTGCTATGAGAAATTCAACGAAATTTATTTTGCACAAAATACAACTTTTTGTACTATTTTGGTAAAAATAATAAAGACAAAACTCCTGTATTCACAAAATCAGGGTGTGGATTGTAGATAGCTTAACGTTGGTGGAGTTTTGTACAATTTGGTTTCATCAATGCAAAAAAATTATAAGTAGGTTTCTCTATTTTATATTTCAAATCAAATAATAAAAAAAATCAAAACATAAGTACGAAATACATTTTATTTTAAATTTGTTAAAGTCGTTGATTATGATCTGAGTTTTCGATTTTTGGTATAAGGTATTATACCAATTATGATTCCTGATACAACTATCCAAAACGCTGCTTGGTAAAAGGACTGGTCCCAGGAATCTGTCAAGTCGAATAGGCATCCTGAAATATAAATTATCACGTGAGAACCAAACATTGTAGTGTGTTTCTATTACATTGATCGTCAATGTACCTACTACTACTTTCAATTTTCTCGAATCATTGCTCGAAACTCCCTATTCGTTTATAAAATAGAATTCTAAGCATATTTTTCAATTAAATTTTCTCGATATACCTTGCCATCTAACCCCACTTTTTGCTTCTTCGTAGTAATTTTTTCCCAGTTACTGACATGCCAGTGATCACGTGACATGTGTTAAAATCTATGTTTATAGGTTATTGGACATCCATAATAGATCCCTGAGAAAAAAATGTTCGATAATCTCATAATAAACTTGTACCCTTATGTCATATGGACACCAGGTTTCCTGATAGAAACGTTTTTTAAACGCAGTGACATTTTGTGGCGAATTATCTGATTAGTACCCATATTGAAACAATAATTATATTTTTATTTTATAGAAACTAGGAGAAAAAATCCTAAATAATCAAGCAAAATAAATGTACCACACCTCTTCTAATAACCTACAGTCAGTATTTGATAATGTTTCTGTTCAATTTATTGAAAGCACTGTAGGTATAGCTAATAGTGGTATCATTGATGTATATGAAACACAGAAGCGGTCCCAGAACTGTTCCTTGGGGGACACCTACAATTATGAAGTTTTCGTAAGATTTCTACTTCATATCCACCGAGTACCTTCGCTTACATTGGATTATTATAATGGAGTGATCTGAACTTAATACGACTATCTGGAACCATGAATCAACAGAAAACTGCATGCGACCTTTTTAAAGGACGGTAGGTCCATCTGAGTTGATTTTTTCTACCTGAAACCTATTCCAGAGAGATGGTTTTAGGATAGGAGGGCTACTTTGATGGAAAGTATGCTGTCCAAGTTTCTTGAGCAGTAAACCGGTGAGATACAGACGACAATAATGCTGCAACAAACTCCAGATTTCTGAAGGCCTCCGGAATATTCTGAACGAATTCTAAAATAGCCGAACGTTACGGCTTTTCCTTGACCTGAACTAGAGATTTGAGATAATCTTATAAGACCCAAAGGATTGAACCATCTAAAATAGCCAAGGTTACCGTTTTCCACGACTCAAACTGGAGACCTGAGAGATTGTTGTGAAGATCAAGGAACTGAACCATTCTTACTGTATCTATGATATCCATCTTTCCTGGTGGATGAGGAGATTTGAAGTGAAATAGCCATGGTGAAGTCATCCAAGGACACGAGCTCAGCCAGCAGGGATGGAATCAGGGACATCTATTCCAGAGAGATGATTTTAGGATAGGAAGGCTACTTTGATGGAACGTATGCTTCCAAGTTTCTGAAGGAGTGAAACGGTGAGATATAGACGACAATGCTGCAACAAACCCCAGATTTCTAAAGGCTTCCTGAATCATTGTAAACGAAGCAGCAGGCCTTAGGTCATAGTGGATTACCTCAAGTACACCAACTCGGCCTGCAGCGAAGGTGTTAGCGACATAGAACTGACAAAGAACAGGCCGAAACAGCCGACGCTGATGATAACAAGACGTAGAACCTAACCTACCAGGAACTATTAATTCACAGAAAACCACATGCGACCTCTTTAAAGGACGGTAGGTTCATCTGAGTTGATTTCGACTACCTGTACCTAACATATTCCAGAGAAATAGTTTCAGGATAGGAATGCTACTTTGATGGAAAGTATGCCGTCCAAGTTTTTGAAGGAGTAAAACGGTGAGATATAGACGACCATGCTGCAACAAACCCCAGATTTGTGAAGGCTTCCTGAATATTGTGAACGAAGTGAAAAATAGCCGAACGTTACGGCTTTTATCCTTGACCTGAACTGGAGATTTGAGAGAATCTTATAAGACCCAAGGAACCGAACCATTTAAAATAGCCAAGGTTACCGTTTTTCCACGACCCAAACTGGAGACCTGAGAGATTGTTGTGAAGATCAAGGAACTGAACCATTCTTACTGTATCTATGATATCCATCTTTCCTGTCGAGGATGAGGAGATTTTAAGTGGAATAGCAAAGTTTAGGTGAAATAGGAAAAAGTTCTTACCAGCTAGTGGAGGTCCTATCAAATTCCCCACCCCCTGCGAGAGCAACAGCAGCCCGTAGGCCATGGTGAAGTCATCCAAGGATACGAGCTCGGCCAGCAGGGATGGAGTCAGGGACATCGAACTGGCGAAGAACAGACCGAAACAGCCTCCGCTGATGACCAGCAGGACGTAGTACTTGGTGAAGAACAGCATGGCGGCTATGGTGAGACCGCACAGGATCAGACAGACGGCGTAGGATTTGGCTACGTTGAGTCTGTCTCCGATGATACCGAGAATCACCTTGGAAAAAATCAATCAGTCACGCAAAAAAATTTCGATCAAATGATTTTTATAATGGTGGTTCTAGACATGGTTATATTAGGCATATTGAGTTACGACTTTCTAGAGAAGCTGTAATTTCATCAAGATCTTCATTGACAGCGTTGACCTGGCTTCTTTGTGAGTTCTTATAGTTTCCTGGGAAGAAATGGGAATTCTGGTAGAGATCGAGGTGGATACTCACCATTCCCAAGGTGTTTGTGATTCCAATAATAGAGATAACAAATGAAGCTTGTTCATCTGTATACCCGCTTCGTGTCATATGCTCTGCCAGATAGAAGTAAGGTACCACGAACCATATGCACAAGATCATGGTGGACAATGACAACAGCAAAAAGTGGAGATCCAAAAATAGCGAAAAATTCGTGAGATCTTTCAAAATGCCCCATAACTCTTCGTACCAGGTCTGAAAATCAAACAGAATGAAATCGATTGGAGCTTTATATACTTTTTTGGGGTTACCTCTTCTTCTCTAAACAGGGTAGCCATCGAATTTTTGTAAATATCAGGACAACTCGATGCTTTCACTCTATATTTGTGTATATTCAACATTGCTCCTCTATAACCCATTGAGTTCTTCCTGAATCTGATGTTCTTCAAGTACGACTGGGGTTGCATCTGAGTCTTTGCTTTTACGGATAAGCTCCGTAAAAACTGTATGCCTCTGGTACTTGTTTGGGGTGGTTCCAACTCTTCTGCAACTGTACCTCCATTCAACATTTTCGTGGTTTCATCTACTTTGTCATCATGTTTGATTTCGTCTATGATTTCCAAGACTTCGGGTTCATCAGGTTTTTTGAGTTTCATCGAAAATCTCACTGGGATTCTGGAGGTGTGGTGATTTCCTTGATTGGGAAGTTTGTTGATTCCAGACTCTGAAGAGCTTCTGCAGTATAACATATTCGGGTAGTTTTCTAGTATGATGCTATACAGTTGCTTGTTTTCGCTTAGTTGTTTCAAAACTTCTATCGGAACCTAAAAGTAAAATAAAAAAATACCACCAGGAGATACCGGAGACATATGTATATTGTATAACGGTTTCCAATAACTATTTTACTTATTGAGATCAGATTTTAACATTCACCTGATGGCGAATGATGGTGCTTTTTCCACTCATGCTGAAGTTTTCCCCGACTTCCTGTTCATTGGGAAGTTACCAAAACTATTTTATTTCGAATAAAACATTGTGATATAAGAAGATAAGCAACATACATCAGAACTCACTCTGACCTTGAACGCTGATCTATCCAGCGCCATCTAAACAGCGCCTCCTAGCAGTGAGTCAGGCGCACTTTCGAACTACTACCATTCAGCACCCCGTATATAACACACGTACATACGGTGGATGTCTGAAGAATGTCAACAATGAACATTACGAATATCCATTGGGTGTCCGATTATGTCCAAACGGACATCCAATGGATATCCATCGGGTATCTATTTAGACATCCGATGAATGTCCATTTCGGTCAAGGTGATCGAAATACCTTGGACCAAGAATACATTTATTGGGATTAAAATCGGCCCCAGCAGTGAATGCCTCCACAGTATATTTTCAATTACCTACTTAATCACTTCTAAGAAAAGTTTAAAAAAAAATTGGTGAACTACGAGATTTGAACTCACGATCTTTGGCTTATCAGGCAGGTGGCAACTCCATCATTCATTTTACTTTTTCCAGACTTATATACAGGAAGAATAAGCCTCTTTTAGACTATGAAGGTATTACTGGCCGTTGTATACAGGGTGAGTCATAACTATTTGGACATAGGCTAAGGACGGATTGTTTGGATCAAGATATGGCGATAGGACCAAATATGCCTCAATAAAATATGGCTGTTTCGTTTTTGGCTAATAATTTCACTGAATATTTATCAATTGTTATCAAAATCGGCACGAAGGCATAATTTTATACAGGAAATATTATTTTATGTATTATTCTACAGTTTGTCACAGGAGGCGCCTCGTGAATGGTTCCTGGTGATGAAATCGACTGGTAACTTTTTTGACGAAACTTTTCATTGATTGTGATTAGAAAATATGACATCACTTTTACGTAATATATTGGTACACGATATTTCCATTCGTTTTCGAGAGAAACGCAATTAAACAATACAAAGTCTCGGAAGGGGATTTCAAATATTATTTCATTCATGAAAAGTGTTCTATAAACTCAGATAATTGTTGTTGGTGAATAACATTTTCTTGTTAGTGAATAAATTTTGGTGCGAGTTTATAGTGAATAGTTTTTTGATTGGAAAGCCCTCTGTATCTTTTTCCACAGCAATATTTTCTTGAGGCATATTTGGTCCTATCACCATATTTTGGTCCAAACAATCCCAATAGTCCAATAGTTATGGCTCACCCTGTATAATGACATAATCAGTCTAATATAGATTTCAATTAATTTTTTATTTTTATTTAACCACTAAATGCTGAGTCGTATTCAGTACTCCGAATAGACATTTTATTCAAGAGAGCATATTCCGTAGTACCTCCGCCAATGAAATAGGTACCGCTCCAAAACTTTTGCAGTCTTCTCTTTGTATCACATGAAATTGAAAATATGATAAACTCACTATTTGAATGTAAAGATATAATCGATTGGCAAATGGAATATATCATGGTATATTTCGATTCGACCAAGGATGTACAAGATAACTCCAATGGACGTCCATCATTCAATTTGATCTTCACGTCCCTTGAATGTCCATTCATTTGTCGCGTCCATATGGACCAAGCATGGATATCATATGGATATCCATAGCATATCCTGTGTTTAGCTTTCGCGAGTCACTGCTATATAATGGGTGCTGCCTAGATGGCTCTGGATAGATGGAGCGAGCTTACATCTCGCCGACACAGATTGGTGTTCAAGGTCGAAGTGAGTTCGGACGTTTGTTGCTCATCTTCTAATATATTTCATCAACCATTCGCTTTTATTTTTGTCTTGAAATGTTTTGTTCAACTACCTTTTCATCTGTTATGGCGCGTTCACATGCTGGCTTTTCGCATTTTGACTTACAGCGTATACTCATCTCATTGGCCGATTCATCAGAAAGCGCTTATCGAGGTCATAAGCTAGAAAGTCGGTTTTAGTCCGACTTTTGCGGAAAAAAGTTCAGATCGTTTGACAGAACCACACAAATATTGACAAAATGAATACATATATTGGTGCTATATCATCATATTATGCAGTGTGGGAAACAGTAGTGGAAAAACACTCCTAAAAATGTGATATATGTTGTTTCTGGAGGACGTACATCTGAAATTTAACCAAATATGTGGCAGTCACTGTCACTTTTCCAACTTTTTCATGTGAACAGTGCGCCCGTTTTTATTCAAGCTTTCTGCTGTAGGCATAAGCTGGCATGTGAACTCGCCATTAGAGTGCACAAGAGGGAATTTGTTCATGTTCGAAGAACATCGTGCGTACCTAGGGAGGATATGGAGGAAGAGGTAGGTATTTTAGAATGTTTATTGAACTTTTGGTGATTATGAGCTATTCGGAATCCTTCCTTTGGGCAAAGAAATCCGAAGCTTTGCAGTCAGTTCTATAAACAAATGTGTTTTGGTGAAGAATTGTTCGACATATCTCGAGGTTGACGACGAAATGATGTAATTATTATGACGAAAGTTACTTGTGGCGAATTATCTTATTCGAGTCACATATACATCGACATTTTCCAAATGATAAAAAATTCCCATATGAGAGCATTTTTATTCGATCTCAAAAACGGTTATTTTCAGCATAAGTGGAGGTTCCTTGTTTTCTTTACTGTATTTTGCATGAATTTGCTGAAAAAAAAGCTTCAGCTGTTTAGGTATGTGTACCTACAGATATATCTATCTACTTTCATAGTGTATGTGTCATATTTTGTTCCTCACTTTTTCATTTTCTTTGATGAACGTCGGCAAATCCACCACCGATTTGAACCTGTCCTTGTCAGAGAGGTCCAGAGTCGCATCGACATCCTGAAGGAGGTACTGAGCATCCCCGCCACCTTCCAAAGTCTGCTTGATTTCCTCGAGACACTCCGTATCGATCGAAGAAGCACTGGACTTCCTCCGCTTCTTCATCTTCTTCTCACGTTCGCTGCAACCCTTCAATAAGAAACACCGATGGCCCGGCCGCGATTTTACTAAATATAAACTATTGCAGCACAAGACACGCCCACCATAATACGTCATATCTCATACTGTGTTTCAACGCAAGAACTGAAGCTTTCTCGTTGTCAATCTCTTGTACGCAGTAAATTTATACACCCAAATGGTCTAGTGGTTAGCGTTGTCGACTCTCAGTCTGAAGGTTCATGGTTCGAATCGCTGTGAACTCGAACTTTTTTTTGCAACTTTTTTTTTTTTCACCAATGTTTTTTTCCTTCATTCTGGTTTTCCTTTTTCATAAAATATTTGAAGTCAAATAGGTTAGTGCGTTTAGGATGAACAGTCTTATTTTATTCAATTTTGTTGAAGAACTCAACTTTTGAAATATATTATTAATCAATGTGTTTCTACACTCCATTCGGTTTTCCTTCCTCAAAAATATTGCAATCAGGAATAGGTTAGTTCGTTGAGGATAAATAGTCTCTGAGTTTTGCCCAAGTACTTTGAAGATGAGATATAACGTGGTATGTGCTACTTTTTCAATAGATTTATTTATATGAATCAGCTACGTTGTGCTGTCAAAGATTAGATTTTGCAGGATTGTGCTGGGCTCGATTATATTTTGCAATGCCGTAGTAGGGGGCGTGTCTTGTGCTGTAATAGTTTATATTTAGTAAATACGCGGCCCGGCCGCGTGCGCGTATAGCCATTCCCCCGTACAGTACAGAGCACGCCGTCCGATTAGGTGCTCTGAGACGCACTGGACTTTGTTTATGATTTATTTCACGCCGACACAATAAACCCCAGTGCATTCCAGAGCAAACGGTTGCATTTTTTTGACACTAGTCCTCGTTGGAATAGAAGAAATGTTAAGGATGGTTATTCACAAGCATTAGTTTTCTTTCCAAACACCTACCTCCTCTCCCTACGCACGTTGTTCCACGAACATTATAGGAAATGCCTTTCGTGTGCTCCAAGATATGAAGAAAATAAAGTCACATAGGGTACCTACTATTCCAAATATGAGGATAACAGTCACCTACCTACTGTCCAATTTTGAGGACAACAGTTGTAATTAATTTTGAAATCATACTCATTATACTCATACACACAGAAAAGTAAATTTTATAACAACTTTTGGATCAATATGAAATAATGTCATTTATATCATCAACTTCATTGAAATGATTCAGCAAGCAGTTTGAAATCATTGCAAACAGCACCATACTATAGAATAGAGAAATGTCAGGTTCAACTTCGCATGGTTGCGATAACGTCAAACATACAAATATAATGAATTCATCATTGAGTTTGACGTTATGATATTTTGTTTTTTATTAGTGCGAGATAATCATGGAGAAAGTATGCTGTACAACATATATTCCAATCTCGCGAACCGAAATCCTCGTCTAAGACTTGAACAACAAACTTTTCGCGCGTTTGTAACAATCCAGATTTTTCATAAAATTGATTTGAATGATATGAATGCATGATTTCAACACAGTTGATCAAAATGGCGAGGGTTAGTGTTATTTTCGAATTCGAGTTCAATTGATTATTCAGGCCGCTTACGCATATACGTACGTACTGTATAAATTGCATATCTGAGTAACAAGGAAAAATCCTATATTTTATGCGAGGAGGTAGTGCATAATTTCTGCGAGGAGCTTTGTAGCATTTAGGTATATAGCAATGAGCGATGCTGCTCTGAAACGTACTGGGGTTTGTTGTGTAGGCGTGAAATTGATCATGAACAAAGTCCAGTGCTTTTCAGAGCACTATGTCGGACGGTACGCTCTGTGCTGTACAGGGGAATGGCTATACGCGGCCCGGCCTAAAACCTACTCACTCTTCCTCTTTGATCCACTCTGGGTCCCGCATCAGGGCCCCGCAAACGCACATGTTCGCGAAAAATCCCGCAGTAATCAGCAAAGTGCCCCGCCAGCCATACTCAGCCAGCAACCAGGTAGCTAAGGGCGAGTACACGGCAGTGCCGAAACCGCTGCCGCTCGCGGCTAAGCCCAAGGCCACAGTTCTGCGTTTCTCGAACCTACGAAAGCGAGTAAGGCTCACGTTAAGTTTTTTTAATAATATACAGTTTTGCTGTTGACAGTTACAACTGTCTAATTGGACAATAGACATTATACATACTTCTACGAAAGCGTAGAAGACTCACGTAACGTTTTCTTTAATTGACACATTCAACTGTTACAACAAAGGTGTTACTCAACTACATATAGGAAGTTAGTTAGATCTGATTCAGGAATAGGAAATCGTTAGTAGAATTGTCAAAAAAGTTGAACTTTTTTCAGTATAAAGAATATGTAAGTATACGCGGAAGCGTTGGAAAGCCACTGATTCTTGAAAAGCCACTGATTCTTGAAAAGCCGCTATGATGTGTGTATGTTATTTTTTTCGACCTCTACAAAAAAAATCACATTTTACGTTCGAATTTCCGAACGAAAAACCGACTATTTCCGAAATCAAGCACGTTTCATCCGCAAATGGCATATTGCCAGTCTAACTGAATTTTCAGTAGAAAAATTATTGAATTATTCTTATTATCTACTGATCGATTGAAACAGTTCATACCCCACTGAGAAATATTTTGACACATTCATTATTATAATTACCTATATTATTAATCTATAGTTGATTACATACACTTAGGAATTGCATGATATTTTGGCACGCTCTATTTAAATTTATTTTACAGAATTGGTAATAAATTTACATACTTTTTTTTTCTTTATGTTCTGGTTTTCACGAAAAGGGAATATCCTGTAATGTTCAGAGAAGATCGTGAGAACTTGGGAAAATAAGGTAAGAATTGGTGTTCTTCTTGAATTTCTGTAGGTTTTATGCCTCGAGGACACCTCCCTCGACAATGTGTTCCAGAGCCTCGCTGTTGGATGAACGAGTCTTCGGAAAGAGATGTTCTGCAGGTCTCCAAAGTAATCACGAAGGGGTGCGAAGCCTCAACTCGACAAGTTAATCTCGCGGGGACTGCCAAGGGAGGAATAATTATTGTTGATATTCCAGAAGAGCATCGTCCATGAAAATATCTATGAAATAGAGCAAGATCGTCAACTTTTCTACGGTGTTCCAGATAAGTGAGTGTGTAATTGCAAATGACTACACCTACCCGGTGTAGAGATATGTATCGGTTTGTAAAGGTACAAAGACGAGTATCAATGAATGATAAGGTGATTTCAGTACAAAATAGCTTTACTGAACCAAAAGTATAAAGTTTGACAAATCTATCAAAAATTGCTAATTCATTTTTTTTAACATTTCAAAATTGTTTTGTCATGGTGAATCCTACAGGGCATTCTCTTCTGAATTTTCAACATTCTCCCACCTTGAGTCACACTACGAAGTGACTCGACAAAATGTAACAATAAAAACTACTTGTTGAACCTGGAGGGGATCTTGACTATTCTACCAGATCTTGTCGTCACCAATGGAGTCACCTCACATGGTCTAATAGGCTCAAGTTTTCCTTCTAATTCTCTCTCTGAATCTGCTTGTTTGGGTGGTTGTTGCAGAGAATTTTTCAATTTAGATATCAAATCAAGATCCTCCTCTTGATCGACTTCTAGGGGATACAATCTCTGTAGTGGTCTCAGTAATATTCCATTTGCTGTTCGAAGTCGCACTAATCGAATTTTCCCATCTTTTCCAGGAAATATTTCATCGACAATACCCAAAGGCCAATCGAGTCTCTTGACTTTCTCGTTTCCGATCAACACAATGGCTCCTAGCTTTACAACATCCTGATTATTCTTCGTTTTCCTTAGAACTAGCTGGCTCAAATATTCATCTCGAAATCTTCTTCTGAGGTCGCATCTAATTTTGTATAAATATTTCAAATGTCGCTTCATAGATGTAGCATCAATCTCATCCAAATCATAAGTTCCAACTTCTTTCACGTCAAGTAGAAACATAGACGGAGTAATCGTAACGTATTGTTCATTATCTTCTGTGATATATGTTAATGGTCTTGAATTTATAATAGCTTCAAAATCACAGACGACTGAAGACAGCTCTTCATATGTTAAACAAGCTTTTCCAAGTTGTTTTCGCAAAAGTTGTTTCAAAATCCTAATCAAACGCTCCCACCATCCACCCCACCATGCTGCGCTAGGTGGATTGAATTTCCATCTGATTCTAATTATCGTACTCTCCTGTTCAATTTTTGTCCAATCCAGTAGTTTGAGTGAGTTTTCAGTCCCAACAAAATTTGTTCCGTTATCCGTGTATACTACAGAAGGCCGACCTCTCCTGGCAATGAATCGTCGAAAAGCTAATAAAAATGTTTCAGTCGACAATGAACAGACAAGCTCTAAATGTACGGCTCTGTATACTGCACATGTAAATAAACAGATCCACACTTTCTCTTTTGATTTGAGAAATAGTGGTCCAGCTAAATCAATCCCTGTGACCTCAAAAACTGCAGCATCTCTGACTCGATCACACGGTAGAGTAACTGGATCTGTCGTTAAATTCTTGGCATTATGTCTTTTACAAGTGACACATTTAGAAATGACGGACCTGACAGTTTTCCTTCCTCTGACAATCCAAAACTTTTGACGGAGTCTACAGAGTAATCCTTGAATTCCTACATGGTATCCTTCCAAATGGAAATGTGAAATAATTCGTTCGGTAACAGGATGCTTTGCAGGCAAAAGAACAGGGAATAGAAAATCATTGGTGTCATCTCGTTGGGAAATTTTTGTCTTGATTCTTATCACACCTTTTTCATCTTCAAATGGGCAAAGAGAAGAAATATTTTTGTCTCGAGTATCTCCAAATGATTCTAATTGAACCAATCTGATCAAGGCGGTTTCCGCTTCTTCAATTTCTTCAACAGACAAATTACCTCTTTTCTTTCCTTCAGGAAAACGAGAGTTGAAAATAAACCTCCTAATCCATCCCATCTGATTCAATAACTTCTGATACTTATGAAAATATCTATAAAATATTGAATAATCACTTTGTACATTTAGACAAGATTTCGTGGTATCCTTCCGCCTTTCCTCTATGACTTCCTCCTCGTGTACTTCAAATTGTTGTCGTGGCCAGTCACCTTCATCACGTAACCAAGTTGGTCCATTCCACCATTCAGAAAGCAATAACTTTTTTGAAGAACACCCTCTCGATGGAAGATCAGCTGGATTCATATGGCCAGGAACGTGATACCAACAGTTTTTATCAGTCAATTTTCGAATCTCTTGAATCCTATTCCAAACAAATGGCTTCCAATAATCTTCTCTTTGAATCCAAGACAGAACTGTAGTTGAATCGGTCCAACAATAAACAGGAAGATCAGATTTTCTAAGATTCTCTATTACTGAAGACAAGAGCCTACATCCTATCGTAGCCCCTAATAATTCCATCCTAGGAATTGTCACCTTCTTTATTGGAGAAATCCTATTCTTTGCTTGAATCAACTGAACACTGGTTTCAGATCGAAGAAATACCACTGCAGCATAGCCCTCTTTACTTGCGTCACAAAACATATGAAGACTCCACTGCAAAGAACCATCAACAAGCAAACATCTCGGAACTCTTACCCGATTCAAGAAATATAATTCCTTTAGCCATTTCAAAAAATCATTCGAAATTTCCTGAGAAACTTCCGAATCCCATTTCAACTTCAATTTCCAAGTTTGCTGCAGTAATATTCGAGGAACAATTTGCACTGGACAAGAAAAACCGATGGGGTCAAAAAGTTTATGAGCTACTGAAAGAATTACTCTTTTAGTGATTTTACTAGTATCAATATTTTTCAACCAATCCAAATTAATTTCAATAGTATCTGATTTTCTATCCCATAGCAAACCTAAGACTGGTGACAAAGAAACATTCACTCCAATATTTTTATCATCATTATCAAGGACAGTGTGCTCCCACCCTCTGAGATCAAATTTACCATCTAACATAACCTGACTAGATTCTTCAATGAACTGTCGAAGTTCATGTTCATCATTGACACTAGTTACACAATTATCAACGTAAAAACTATCTTTCAGTTTCTCAATAGTCCAAGTACTGAATTTTGAATTAGGATCTTGCCTGCAGTCTGCAAGGTGTTTCTCCAAATGATAGTTTATTACTGCAGCTAACAAAAACGGACTGGAAGTAACTCCAAACACGACTCTAGCATGCCTAAAAAATTTGAGATTTCTATCTTTATCGTACCACAGGAATTTTAAAACATTTCTATCATCAACATTCACACTTATCTGAAGAAATGCTTTTCTAATATCTGACACGATACCTATTCGGGAAATCCTAAATCTGATCAAAATTGATGGAATGAGCTGAATAAGATTAATTCCCGTCTCTAAACACTGATTCAGTGATGGATAGTTTCTCTCCTTAGCAGACGCATCAAAAACAGGCCTCAACTTGGTTGTGGCACTACTCAACTTGACCACATGTCGATGTGGTAAATAATATCCATCATCGTCAGAGCATCTAGAAATTTCTTCTATTATTCCTTCATTCAACCATTCAGAAAAAACTTCATCATAATTGTCATAATAACCATCAATATCTAATTTTGTCATGAGATTGTCTAAGCGTTTTTTTACAACAAAAAAGTTATTTGATAATGGGGCATGTCCTTCAATCCATGGTAAATTCACCTCATATCGACCTTCATCATTAACTTTAATCGTTTCATGAAATTTTCTCATGACTTCATCTTCATGATTTTTTTCTGATTGTTTCTTACTTGGATCAGAAATACCTAGGATATCTAAATTCCACAGGTGTGAAATATCATTGTTACATAATAGCGAACTAACTAACATTGAACAAGTTTTTGAATTTTCAGGTTCAGAGCTCGAGATTTTACCCATCAATGTCCATCCCAATGAAGTCTCCATCGCTACTAATCCGCTTTGTAATTTACGACGCTCACCAGTAAAAAGTTTTCCTGCAATATCAGCTCCAATCAAAATCTCAATGGGGCCATCTTGGGTATCAGTAACAGAAATACCCATATCAGCTAGTTCAGTTATCCATGGCCCTTCCCTAATTGAAATTATTCTATTGCATATCAGTGGTTGATCGAGAGCATTAAAATTACAAACATAGTTTTCTTCCAAATTTTTCAAAGTTACTCGGTAACAGCTATGATTAATTATTTCCGAACGAGTACCACCAAAGAGAGCATGAATCATTTCTTCAGAATCAATTGCTTCATACCCCATTTCTAGAGCAGTATGTTTAACAATATACGATCTTTGGGACCCTGTATCTATAATAGCCCTTACTACACGGGTTTTTGAACCATTACTGAGTTTGACAACCAACGTTTGTAAAAGGATTTCATTGTAGGTGGAATTTGATAAACTTTCAACAGTCACTGAAGATCTGGAAGCATGATCAGTATTAGATTCGATCGAATGTTTTTTGGGACACATTATAGTGGCGTGTCTCTCCTTGCATTCAGAACACGTTATCCTAACAGCGCATTTCCGGGCAATGTGTCCAAACTTCAAACATATATAACATCGACCATTATCAGCCAAGACTTTTTGTTTTTCAACAAGTGATAATTTCTTCATATCAGCATCATTGCAGTCTGGAGTATAATGCGGTTTCTTACAAAAAACACATTTTGGTACTTTCTTATTCTGATTTATCAAGCCCGAAGCAGTAGGAATAACTGAATCATTAAATTGAACGTCTTTCTTTCTAGTTCCAATATCAAATCCAGACATTGCTAAACAAATTTTTTCCTCATTTTCTACTTCCCTTCTTAAAAATAGCATCATACTGTCTAAACGCCCTTTTAAAGTGGATTCTGAATCATAATTTTTGCTACGCTGCCACGCCCGCAGAATGTCTTCCGGTAAACAAGATTCAACTAAGGGATATAACATCGCTGAACATTTATCTGAATTGACGCCTAAAGTCTCTAATGATCTTAGCTGGGATTCAAGTTGATCATAAAGTTTACTAAGTTTCACTTTAGAACGTAAATTTGACAAGATTAGCTTCAATAATTCTCGAACGTATACTTCCACTAACAAATCTTCACGTCCGAAACGAGATTTTAGACTCTCAATAACCTTTGGGTAATTATCGCCTATTGGTGGATAGCTGTCGACAAGTTGACGTGCACGAGAGTTGTGAACGGTGGATTGAACAAGATATTGAAATTTATCTTCATTTTCAATAGTTTCATCTTCATGAATCCTTCTGAATTGGCCCCAAAATGGTAACCAATCTCTTATCTCGCCACTAAACTTCTTAAATTCAATTTGAGGTAACTTTAATCTCCTTTTATTCTGACTAGAAGAGTTTTGACTCAATATTTCAGAGAGAGAATCTTTATTCAACCTTCGTTCAATCTTAGCCTTGAGCCTATTATACTTCCCTGCGATTTCATCAGCTCTGGCTACCTCCATATCAACATCATCAGACGGAACATCCTTCTCCAGCATCTCATCAAGCAACTGTTTCTCCAACTCCATCATTATCTCCATCTTCTTCTCCAGAACTCGAAGATTTCCTTGTAAATCAGCAAGATCGTTATCTGGGTCCAAAAGCAGCCTCATCGTATCTTCATATAAACGTTCGAATGCAGTTCTGTGAACATCTAACGCTTTCAGCAGTTTCTCCATCTTTGCAGTGTCCTGTCACGGTCGCCAAATGTAATTGCAAATGACTACACCTACCCGGTGTAGAGATATGTATCGGTTTGTAAAGGTACAAAGACGAGTATCAATGAATGATAAGGTGATTTCAGTACAAAATTGCTTTACTGAACCAAAAGTATAAAGTTTGACAAATCTATCAAAAATTGCTAATTCATTTTTTTTAACATTTCAAAATTGTTTTGTCATGGTGAATCCTACAGGGCATTCTCTTCTGAATTTTCAACAGAGTGAGTTTGTGAGCGAGGCATCACCCACGAGACGAATTGCCCTATTTTTGAATTCTTTGGTGCTGCACTCCAAATATGGGAACAGTATTCCAGGTCAGGTCGGATCTGTGCCTTATAGATCATAAGCAGCTGACTGGAAGTGAAAAAGCTCCTAGCCCGAAACAGACAACCAAGTTCTTGGGATGCACTTTTAACAATTGATCTCACGTGATTTTTCCAAGAAAGGTTATTGCTGTATTAATACCAAGCATCGAAATGGATGTCTTCAAAGGTATTGTTACTCCTGAAAAGCTCATGTTGGGCACAGTGAGATCGGCTTTCCTAGAGAAAAGGCATGCTTCTGCTTTGTTTGCATTGAAATCTACCAAGTTATTGGATCCCCACTCGAGAATTGTTGCCAAGTTCATATTTATGTTGTCAACATTTCTTCCTCATTCGTTTCTAGTTTGCCTGGCTGGTATTGGAGCCCTGGAAGAGAAGGCGGTATGGAGGGTTCTTCGCTGGTACTATCATCCGCGAAGCTGTACACTGGACATGAAGTTGCTTCCAACAAATCGTTGATATGGAGTAGAAATATTGTTGGTGCTAGAAATTGATCTTTGCGGAACACCAGCATTTATGATAAGAGAGTCAGATGAAACTCCGTTGACCACTACATGGAGAGACCTGTTTGAGAGAGAATTAGCTAGCAGAGAACATAGTTGGGGAGGCAAGCCATAAGATGGAAGCTTGATGGCGAGAACTCCGTGGTGCCAGACTCGATCGAATGCCTTGGAGATCTCAAGTGCCACGAAGAGGATTATCCTTTCTTGGAATTCGTATAGCATAAAATAGTTCTGAATTTTTGACAAGGTATTTACTGATGACATAAAAATCGAACTGGCAATCCTGGTTCGTGCGGAGAGTGAGTTGACTGTCATTTGCTGATTAGGTCCGTGTTGTGGATATAAGTGTTTGAAATCAGACTTTCTTCTTTGAACTCAGACTTTTATGCCGGCGGACTTAGGACTGCTGGCTGGAGACTGCTCTGCACTGATGAGAGTCAAAGAGCTCGAAACGGGCCTGTAGGTGTCAAGGGTGGCCTGACTAAATCGAAATCAATAGGCAATCAGGAAAGAATCACTTGTATCAGTATTCGTTTAAACGAGTCGATGCATACATTTCATCGGGAGGATGTAATTCAATGTTCTGCGTGGCATTAGTCAGGAAAGTAGTTGTTTTTCTCCCGAAATCCACCATTGTTGTTCATTTTATGAATATTGTGTGAAAATTACTCTGAGCTTTTTGTATTTATTCAACATTTCATTCCACTTTGGGCATTGTGGCTATTTCGTAGTTGATATATATTTGAGAAAAAATGTAATGTGAGCCTTCCACGTTTCCTTACTTACCAGAAGGCAATGGACACGACGGCCGTCACGAGGCAGATGGTAAGGCCCAGGCCGCCTATAACGCCGAAGGTCAGGTACATGACGCCTATGGATCTGGCATAGGCACTGGCGGCGAGGCCTACGGTGCAGACTATGCCGCCTATCATCGTCATGGAGCGGCAGCCGTACTTGTCGACCAAGGCACTTCCAATCGGTCCTGCAACGAAAAGTTAGTTCAATTGTTCACTATTTTAGGAGTACAGAATAACCCAGTTAAAAAAAGCATGCCGTAACTTTATCCGCGAAGAGACAATAGCTATTTATACAGAGTGTCCCAAAATTGCTGGGACACAGAGCTACCACTTGAGAGGATGTCAAAATGAGTAGAATGGACACAATTTATGATTTGCCAAAATTCAACATAAAAAACACATTTTTGTACGCTGTTCAGAAATAATTAGAAAGAATTTGATGAAATTCGGCAATAGTGTATTTCAGAATATTATTTTCCTTTTGGTACTCGAAGAGAACTGAAAGAAATTGTAGAAGGGTTCAAACCATCCCCACAACCTGCCATTTTTTTCAGAACTTTTTCAAGGGTCATAATACGGTTCTGAAATTTCTTGAGCTTAAAGACTAATTACCTTCATTTCATTACTCTCGTAAAAATTTTGTACACCGCATAGTTTCGAAGAAAAACAATGTTCTCTCAAATAATGCTACCAGATATTCCTATAGTACAAGTTTGATTAAATTGAGATATTAAACATAGTTGGCAGTGGAAACAAAAGCAGAACGTTTCTTCATACTGAATGTTCAATATGACGTCCACCTTCATCAATACAATTATCAATTCGACGTAAAAAATTAAAATGCACCCTCCTCAGGACGTCGTCGTTGTCTGGTAGTGCGTCAACGGCATTTGGGATTCTGTTCCACAGCTGTTCGGAAGTATCATTTTGAACTTCATACACTTGTGTTTTTAACGCTCCCCAGATGAAGAAGTCGCACGGATTCAAATCTGGAGTCCGCGGAGGCCATGGAATAGGTGCTTCTTGTCCCCTACCAATCCATCTATCAGGAAATTGTTCGTTAAGATATTGTCTTACTGCCCGTGCAAAATGAGGTGGTGTACGACCGTCGTGCATGAAGAACATGTTTCGACGAACATTGAGGGGCAAGTCCTCTAATAAATCTGGCAAAATTTCTTGAAGAAAGTGGAGGTAACTAGCACCATCAAGACGATCTGGCAATCGGATCTGCCAAACCAAAAATGTTTCGATAAATCCGATCCAAACATTAATTTTTAATTCTCGTTGATAGTGTGTCTAGCTTTAATAGCATGTGGGTTTCCATCAGCATATACATGCTCATTGTGCAGGTTCGTCATGCCACGACGTGTAAAACAAGACTCATTCAGTAAAAAATACTAGTGTGAAATCTGTTGTCAAGTAGTCTGCGCTCCCGAACAATCCGTGAAAAATTTAAACGTGATCCGTGGTCAAGTGGTAATAACTCTTGCACAAACTGTATATGATCCGATTCACAGGGTTTTTTCGGATTTCCTGTTTGTCGCTGCACAGATCTGGCACTTTTCTAGGGATTGTCAATGATAATTTCAAGAACAGCTTCTTCTGTAATAGGTCTTTGGACTCGGGGTGTCCCAGCGTTAATCCTGACTAGTTTCAACATCACTGTTTCTCGAAGACGTCTCTCAATTCTGGCAAAAGTTTTATCATCCTGTATTCTCCGGTTTGGATACCTCCCTTGGTATACGCAAGCACTTACGCGACAGTTACCTTGACAGAATCCGAGAACTAAGATCATATCGGTCTGCTCATTATAAGAGAAAACCATATTTGATAGCAATTAAATAATAATAAATGGTCGGTAATGGTACTCGCGGTAATAACAAAATTGAAGAATTTATTGAAACATTTAAAAACAACGTCAACAACAATATGAATGACAATAAATGTGTTTTCTGTCAAAATCACGACTTGCCTTCGTTTCACTGTCAACTAAGTTTTATATCACAATTTAATTAAACTTGTACTGGGAATATCTGGTAGCATTATTTGAGAGAATATATTTTTTCTTCGAAACTATGCGATATATTAAATTTTTACAAGAGTAATAAAATGAAGGTAATTGATAAGTCTTCAAGCTTCAGAACCGTATTATGACCCTTAAGAAACTTCTGAAAAAAATGTCAGGGGGTGAGGGTGGTTTTAACCCTTCTACAATTTCATTTAGGTTTCTTCGATTACCAAAAGGATAGTATTCATTACTCTATTAGTATTCTTAAATATCTCTGAGCTCTCATATGCATTTATTTCACTAACTATTATAAGCTTGCTTAACTAATTTGAGGTTATTAATATGTGTGTTATGATTGTGATTGATTTTGTGTTCGGCTACACAACAATTTATCTAACCTACCATATTTCAAATGGTGCTAAGTGTTCTTTGAACCTTGTTTTTATGGGACGCCTGGTTTGGCCAATATATGTCTAATCACAACTTTGACCCAGACTGATAAACGCTTTCAAAACCTGGGTCTTTGAAAACCTTATCAAGTCCTCTTGTGTACTTGGCATTGAAAGGTATTGAGATTTTTCTCGGATTGTTTTTATCCGTTTGAAAAGTCGTAGCATTCCAGAGTGATAACTTAAATTTATGTCTACGTACTGATTTATCTACTATTTTGATATCATAACCATTGACGCCAGCCACCTTATAAACAACACTCCTTACAACATCGAATCTTTGTTTGCTCAGAGGAAATGAAACTAGTCTATGTTCTATGTACTAGGAAATTTGAACTTGCCATTTTGTGTTGACAACAGGGGTTGGAGTCATTAGTTATGTATCTAAGTGTGTTGTTAGTTTCTGTTCTGAAAACATCAAATTCTGAATTGTTTTCGCCATTATTATTCCCAAGAACATCCAAGAATGGTAATTGACCGTTGACCGATATTACTTAGTATATAAGTAGCCCACTAGGATAGAGCATTTAGTTTCAATCTTCTCCTGATGATGCTAACATAGTTAGCGAAACACGTATCGAGGTGTAAAAAATTGGTTTGGTTAGTGGTAAAACAGTGTGTGGTGTATTATCGTGCCAAAGGTTCCAGTCTTCGATATATCAGCAATTTTTTTCTATCATCTGAACATTCTTTCCGGTGGAAAAATGAACAATTTGACTTGTTGACTAAAGACGGCATGGCATGGTATGATGTGATACCTTAGAACTATGCCACTAGATGACGATAACATGACTAGAACCTCATATATTATCCAGCAAAGATGGTAAAAGTCAAGTAGAAGTTCTTACCCGCGATCAGAGGCAGAGCCATGAAGAGGCTACCGATCCAAGACGTGGCCGACTTGGAAGCTCCAAAAGCATTCAAGAATTCGATGTAGAGGAGTCCGAACGTGAAACCCACCCCATCTGACAGCATGTTGATGACGAAACAAGACAAGACGACCATCCAACCCCAGCCACCGTCCGGTATTTTCGGTTTGGTTTTCTCCACGAATATGCTGATCTCCGAAGACAAAATGGACTCTCTCCTTTGGTACATCCGGTTCACGTGGAGGTGCTGATCTTTGGGATCCTCGGTCTCGTTGGCGCATTGTGGGAGAGGGTCTATGCTAGGTGCTACTTCGGATATGGTCACCAGAGGAGCTGTGATTTGGGGAGAAGTCATAGTGGTTCCGTTTATGGTCTCAGTCGGTTGCTCAAAGATGCTTCATTTAGGTGGTTGATTGCACCTGCGAATCATTCATCGCTGAAATGGTTATATTCCTAACAAGTGCGGAGGGTAGTATACTTTTCCGCAAGAGTTAGGTACAATGTTTTTTCTACGAGTGTTTTTGTTCGACGTGTCTGAAATACCATCCTGAAAGATCTTTGTTTTTCACGGACATTTGAAACTGTAAATTAGACAGAGAAAACTTTTTCTTACTACTTCTACTAATTTATAGTTGTGTAATGCCCCCAACTTTCTTCGTTCGTTGGCCTACTATACAGGGGGTCGTTACAAAGTAATTTTGTTTTTCGATAAATGGGTTCGTGATTATTGAGGCAGGAGGCAGATTGAGATTGTAGACATTAAGACAATATATAGATAGTTACTGAGACATATATTCAGGCAGTATGGTCAGGCAGAGGTTACAGGCAACAAAATCAAAGTTTGCTTACATTTTAGATTGCACATTTTTGTTACACTGTTCACTTGTTTTTTTTTTAATTGGCGAGAGATTTACTTCACTTTTACGTCTTAGTCACAAAAGTTGCAGTTTACAATAAATCTACCTGAGTGGTTACTTACACAGGTATTATTAACGAAGTTCACTGGTACTGTTCGAACGTAGCATGTTTGATAGACAGATACAAAGTCGGCTGGATACGTTTTGTATTGAGTCACGTTTAAGACTTGACATTTTACATTCTGGTCAATAGATTCAATGATTGTACTTCAATAATTATTCCCGAGGCTCACTAACAAAACGTTCAACTAACACAACGGAGATCGAGACATATCGTATTGGAGACTGATCAAGACTGCTTCAAGAATAACTTCAGACTGTCTTTTTTCATTCGGATTGTTTCTGCTTTTATACAGAATATAGCAACAAATTTTGGGAGAATCAATTAAATATAAGAGAAGCTCCATGTTGTGTTTATATTAGGCAAGATTTTTCGTAGATTTTTGAGCGATAAACTACAGATGTTAGGATCAATTTGCGAAACTAAAAAGATTTCGTTGTAGTTCTGAATTGTTATGACGATAAATAATTCAAAGCTTCAACTCATACTCTTGATGTCAATAAAACTGTCACTTACTATAGTTTTCCATTAACCCTTTTTCAAGCAATAATTCAATGTGGTTTATGATTCTCATTAATTTGTCTTGACTTCAATTTGCACCAGTGAGATGATTTCGATGTAACTCTCTAATGTTATGATAATAATTCACTCTATGATTATTAAAAAAATTGACAATTACATGCTCTTTCCTTTATGTATTTGGGCTAAATAATAATTTATTGATCTTTCGAGCCAATCAGATTAAAGTCACTCCCTCTTCACTGAACATATAAATTCTTTGCAAATTCTCATCGTCATTTTTGTCTCTCAATTCGGTCCTGTGATATCAACCTGCTTCGTTCTTAAGTGGCCAGTGAATTCGTTTTACAAAGGTAACGTACCTACTTATTCTATACATTTATTTATGCTAATGATGCTGCACTCAATGGGGAAGACCACTGATTTTTTACCAGTGAATTAATTTTGAATTTTTTCATTCATGCTAAGACGATGAAAAAAATAAATTAGTATATGTCCATTTCAAAACACGCAATTCCTGCGCCATTTGAAATTTCATCAATGCATTGGTGTGACTGGTGCGACGTCTCAGTCCCAACACGCCTATTGTCCTTGAACTGACCAATTACACTGCAACACTGCAGAATGACGAGGTATCAGAGAGAGATAGATACAGTTCGGGACTAATACGTCACGACTCCACCATAATATTTGGCTGTTTGAAATATCGAATGGAATATGCTGATTTCAAAACGATATAGATTCGATTCCCTTCAACTTCAACTCATAATATTGATTGTACATAAAATGTAAATCATGATTCGTTGATTGAAAGAGGTTTACACGGAATTCTTTCCTCAGTGGTCTTCCCCATTCAAAATAAACATTCGTCCGTTCACGTAATAATATTGCCTAGTAGACGCATGATAAAAGTTATTCTTATTTAAGACAATTATTGTTCACTGTACTTAGTTCAAAATAAATTCAGAAATCCACATAATTTTGTCTAAGATACCCGTTCATTGTTCATTACAGTTGCATTTAAAAATTAGTCCTAATTTACAGTTGGAGGTGTTTTGAGAGAAGTTTTCTCTGCCTAATTTACAGTTGTTGATTAGATTAGATTTAGAATGGTGCCTTCGGGCTATCTGCCTCCACACCATGACCACAGCATGACCTTTTCAGATCTATTGTTTCTGCTCTCAAAATCGATTAGAGTTCTTCGGCTAGCCCCGCCTTCGCTATGAGACTCCATAGGCTAGCTTTCAGATCCCCTGTGTATCTTTGGGCTTCTGGTTTTTCCTCTCCCAGCGTAAGGAACCTTGGTCTTGACAAGCCCTCACAGTGGCAAAGTATGTGTACTGCTGTTTCCTCTTTTTCCTGACAGAACCTGCACAGCAGTTCTTCAGTCAGATCTATCGTACTCATGTGTTTGTTGAGCCTACAATGCACTGTGAGGAGTCCCACTAGTATTCTAGTTGAACTTCGTTTCTGGCTCAGTAGATATTCTGTGAATGTTGGCGATGGTTTTTTAATAAACTCTTTTGCCTGTCTCATACCTGGCGAGTTGTTCCACCATTCTTGAGATTTGGTTTGCATCCATGATTTGATACTAGTTTTTTGTATAGCTTTCGCAATACCACAGAAGGGTTCTGGGCCATTCAGAGCTTTGAATTTACAGTTGCAAGACAGAATAGGTAAATAGATCATTCAGTTAGTTTTAAATATCCTTATTTTCAACAATACAAAAGTCGTGCGGCAAAGTTCGATTTATCGTACAGGAAAGCAAAAATAGTGCGGAATAATTAAAATCGTGTGAAAAGTAAAATCGTACGGAAAAGTACAACTTCAATAACGAAAAATCGTGCGCACGCTCGTAGGAAATAGATATTTAAGTAACACGTCATTTGGTGTGACGATGGGATTTTGCGGGACCAGCGGAACGAGATCCCGCAAAACCAAGTTGCACAAGAGGTGGTTACTAACTTGTTACGTACAATAATTTCCCGATAACTGTCAAAAAAACTGAACTTGTTCAATATATTTTGTAAGCAAAATTCAAGAGAACAATCTCGAGCTAAATGAAAATGCGTTTCGAGCATGAGAAAAACTTCGTTTCAGCGAACGAGATGGAAATGCTCATAAAGGAGCTAACCTTACCTTACACTGTATCCATTAATCATACCTCTCGTCTGGGAAAGCATAGAACTGGTCTCAACCGCCCAGTCAAAGTGGAGCTTTCTAGTGCTAAAGAGGTGGTTACGGTTCTGAGAAACACGTCCAAAGTTTCCAAAAGCAAGTATCCTCTTATCAGAATTAAGAGTGATAAAACACCAAAACAAATGAAACAATTAGGCACTCTGTACGATGATCTCAATGCCCGAAGAGCCAATGGAGAAACTAATTTGGCGATTAAATATGTGAATAACATCCCGAAAATCATCACAGTTTAGTACGTGCTTCACACGAGACCAACGAGACGAGACTTTCATGAAGTCTCGTCTCGTCTCGCCGAGGAAATATGAAGTCTTGTCTCGAATCTCGTCTCGCAGCCCCGAGTCTCGTCTTCCTTCGTTCCTTTGATCAAATTGACACTACAGTGATATATGTTCACTATGCAACTGTCAAGTAGCCAAGTCTTTGCAACAGATCCTGTCTGAATGTCCTATATCTACGCAGGCATAAGGCAAAATGCGATTCTGTCTGAAATCGGCGATATTGATGGTCTAATACTTCTACTCAACACTCACAATGTCTTATACTTAGCAGACCTTGTCACAGTTAAAAGATTACAATATAGTAATTGTGAGTAAACCTTCATTTTCTGTTCGACTATCTTGAATTATTTGAATCGATGGCCATCCATTAACTGCTAAACAGATACGGTACCTCATCTACTGATTTGAGGAAGATCTACAGGGTGATTATATTACCCTCCACAAAAAATGAAAGACAAAAATCCAGGCCTGGAAACGAAAGAACATGTTGATTTCCATTGGGCTAAAGCATTGGAAATATTAGCCTTACTTTTCATGAAAAAAAAACAGACGAATCGAAGCTGTTGAAAAGTTATGTCCAAAAGATGTTTTTGCCAAATCTCATATTGGTTTAAGTATTCCCCCCAAGGGCCTCTATTCGTGGTGAGAGTATGTACAGTACCTCATGACTCATCCTGTATATATCATATATTATATCTTCGGAAGATCGAATAAATTAGGTAGGTAGATTATGTACAGTCGTATTCAATAAAAAAGCGTACAAGTATTGAAAAGATCGGGATCCTAGTTCTAGTTGTGTAAAACTGGCTAAGCCAATGCCCGTTTTATGCAGAATCTATGATTGAATTCAAGTTTTTTAACACATCGTAGGTAGTAAAATTCAATTTTCTTAGGTTATTTTTGAAAAATATAATATACTGAAAATTTATTTTCTCGCGTTTTCTCCATGCGAAGTGCCTGTCCTGAATATATTTTATTTTGAGGACCTGGCGATTACAGGAAATCAATGCTCAGTATATCCTTGAAAATCATGTCATTCATTTTGAAAGCTGCTTCACAAAAACTCTTTTCATTCCATGCAGAAAGCAAAAAGCTACTAGCTACTCCACACCTCCACAGCAATGCAGCATGTTTTCAGAATACCGTTTCCAAATACGGAGTTCAGCAGCTAAACATTCGCTGATGCAACTCTCACAAATTTCTTGACGTCATTGGAACACCGTTTTATGAAAAGTCGACGATCTTTCACTTTTCTATAGATACGGTACTTCAACTGGAAATGTTCTTCCAGAAATCATTCCATCACTGGCAATACCAGTCAGAGGAACGCGACAATCATATCAGCACATCCTTTTGTCGTCAACCTCTATATGTCAAACAA